ATCCGATAAAGATGCGCGAAAGACGCCGCGAAAGAAGCCGGGTGGCTTGAAGGCAGTACTACTCCTCTTCCTACTCCTGCTCCTACTCCTACTCCTACTCCTACTCCTACTCCTACTCCTACTCCTCCTACTCCTCCTCCTCCTCCTACTACTACTACTACTACTATTACTACTACTACTACTACTACTACTACTACTACTATCGGCTCTTACTCCTCTCCATGCACTCCTTAATGGTGATGCCGGTGTTTCTGACCTGCAGCCAGGGCTGAAAGCCCGGACGATGGCCAGCTTCTGCGCTTTCTTGTATCGGTCTCGGTCTCCGTAGCCCGCTGATATGTGGTTGGGGCAAGGCTGCGTGCGGGTTCTCAGGATTCAATGATGGACAGGCTAGAGGCCACAGGGCTTGGACGCAGGCAGTAGTGTTGTTCACCGTGCAACTTGAAGAGTTGGTCAAACGCTCGAGGTGTGCAGCTTCCTGGCCTCAAGAGAGGACTGCACAATCGAGCATCTGCTCTCAGATGTCGTGCTCGCTCATTGCTGAGTTAAAGTTCCTCAGGGTCGTGGGTCGCAGCGGCACTAATGTGCCTGTGAAGACCGTGGACCAGAAAGCAGGATTTACAGCCTCTGCAAAGCAGAGATGCTCCGGTTTGTGATCTGTGTCGGAAAAGAAGCTGTTCGAGTCTACCTGTTCATCTTCTGTTTGCAGCCTCATGCTTGGTTCACCCACGCTCCCCTCGAAGTCGGCTCACTGCAAGAGCTGTGAGTGGCAGACACGTCTCGTTTCATATAGTCGCAACATCCGCAACCGGACCCTTCCTTCCTTCCTCCTAGCTGCTTCCAGCTTCTCCATGTTTTTAACAGCTTCCAGGCCAAGGCAAAAGCGTCTTGAACTCGCCCTTCAACCCTGACCCTCAGCCCCACTCAAAACTGCAGCAAAAGGAGCAGCCCAGAAACCCAGAAGCAACAGTTTTCAAGCACTCAGTGCGGTCCTTCAGTGGCAGTCATGGCGAAGCTGTTCGAGGAGATCTTCCAATCTGGAGGTCGCAGGTTTCAGGGAATGCCGAGCGTCCGAGTGACGGTCTGATTGAAGCACGACGTGGGGCCAAGCAGAAGCGGATGCTGCAGATGGCAACACAGGGTGCAAAATGTGAAAGGATCCCAGGCTAAACCCAAGCTTAAAACGATTGATGCTTTTGTTTCTAGGTGTGATGGACTCAGCTCCTTCGGCTGCTGGTGCCTTCGTTCGTTGGGTCACTGTAAGACATGGTGTCCGCTTCCAGGATCTCTGGAACTCTAGAAGATGTCGTTCTCTTGTTGTCTTGCAACGAGCCAAGAACCGCAGGTTCCGGGGACACGCGCCTGGTCATCACTGATCCACGAGATGCCAGAGATCCCATGGGGGCCGAAGGCCTCAAGCCCCTCCTTGCTGGAAATCGCTAGTCTTCAGGCATAAGTCCTATATTGTGGGTTGAGTCCTTTACATCCTCGCGGAATTCCCCGATGAAGTCTTCTGGAAGGAGCCGCTTCACGGATTAGGGGGGGTGCTTCAGCTGCTTCACCATGGTCCGAGCCAGATGCCCTCCACCTCTGCTGTCACTCGCTGATCCTCACGCGCTGCACTCAGCCTTTTGCGCCTTTCAAAGGCTTGAGGTGAATCTTGACCCCATCCGAAGTTCGCCTTCAGAAGATCCCCAAGCACAGGCAGCAGTCCTACTTCTACAAGATGCTTGGCCCCGCACTGAGTTCATTTTGAAGGTCAGGCTCGGCCGCCTGCACCCTAAAGCCCTTCCACTCTCTCGGCCTCGAAAGCTCCAGGCTCCGGGACGCCCTTGCGAGAAGGCATCACTCGCGAGGCGAGGTCGTCGCGGCATCGGAGGAGTCGCGGACAAGCACAACTGACTTCTGCGAAATCGCCTTGTGATCCTGTCGCTTGCTTCACGTGTGATTTCCTGTGAGTAAGTGCGGTCAAGTGAAGCGCTTTTGCGGGCAGACGGGAAGAAGCCGAAATCCTCAATTGCTCCCTCCGCGCTCCTCTTGCAGGCTTTGATCTCGGAACCGCGCACCGAGGCCGGCATCTAAGCGAAGACAGCTCCGGTCTGTCGGCGAAATATCTCTAGCCGCTGGTTGCATCATGTTAGTCAAACACTGCAACGAAACGGGTGGTCACAGGTCACTTGACAATGTTGTGTTTGATGGTGACCAATAGCAGTTCGCAACTTTGACTTGACTCAGTTCGTTGAGCTGCTGCGCTTCATCTACACGATACCCCGGCATGTTCAAGCATGGCATTCCAGGTGGTTTGCCTGGTAACGGCCACATAGGCTATCCGAGGTTTTCGGGGTTGGCTTCGTGCACAGTTCACCACACAATAAGTCCGTCGCATGCCAGGAACCAAGTTGACATCAACGAGCACACAGTCCTTGGTCTTCTGCTTAAGCTCTGCAGATCCAAGCTCCAAGCCTGAAGCTTCCAAGCCCAGAGGCCTGAACCGAGGACGGTGGCACTGAGAGGATTCCAGTCAGCGTGCAAAGGTAAAGTGTCCAACACGGCCGACGGTATCCCAAAGCAGTCTGACCTTTCCGCCTGAGGCCTCCTGACCTTGGCAGACAAGCTGCGGACTTGGATCCATTGCGCGCTCTAGGCCCTAGGCAGTGTACAAAGCCATTGTATCGCAAGTGCCAGTTGTGCGCATAGCAGCTCTTGGATAGACTCCGGTTGGCCGACTGGCTTGCCTTCACGTGCTGTCTGAGGTACTGCATAGATGAGGTTGTGGATCTGTGTCTCAAGTACATCAAGGACAGCGGTGCTGAAAACCCAGCGAGCCTGGCCCTCTGGCACGGCTTGGGCTTTGGACTCATGTATTCCCATGCAGCTGCCCATGCAGGACAACTTTGATGCAGCGTCTTGGTGGCAGAAAGCCGTATGAGTTCGTCGCGCGCGTTGAGTAACTGGATGCCGTCTGCGCAGTCGTTAGCCATTTTTTCTGCCATTTGTAATTGGCAGTCGTCATCGGAGGGAGCATCCTTCAGTTCTCTGGGACTGCTGTGCTTTAACGGATGTGCTCCATGCTGTCGCCAGGACATGTTTTTCACCTTCTATGACATCACAACCCTCAACTCCACGTACCAAGACAAGCTCAAGGCTGGTGCAGCTGTAGTATCGTTTTGCGAGCCAAGGCCTCCCGACAAGTTTTCGAAGTTGGCGTTTGTCGGCATCTTTCGCTGCAAGAGAAACTCCAAGTCTCTCTCCACAGGCTTCGATTCGTCCGTTTGGCTCAAGCGCCACAGCAAAGAGACCCCTCCGTGCACCTTGGGGCGTGGAGGGGACCTCATCATGGCGAGCGACATGAAGCCACCCCAATTCGAGGCCAGATTGTCCTTTTAGTTTTAAACGAGTGCCTGTGACCTCTTCCAAGAACCCAAGCTGCAACCCTCTAAGCGGTCAGGGTGGTGGTCCAATGGTTCTGGCCGGAGCCCAAGACTTGTCCAGGGCTTCAGAGCCTTCGGATTTAGGGTTTCGGAACCTGCACCGAACGTCTTGGCTCCAGTGCGGGAGTTTTTGGATGTGAAGGTTTTCAAAGGTAAAGAGGAATTCTGGCCCAAAACGAGTAGCTCTGGGAGGATGGTTGCTGCACATCGTCACTGATGGCTTTTGAAGCTCTTGGAGGTCAGATTTCCTTCTCAGCGCAGGTACGAAACACTTTCCTGGACATCGAGGACCCGCCCGACCCCGCAGGCGAGATCGTGCGGTCGAAGACGGCTCCGCCGGGGAGCGGCGGTGCCTGGGCAGAGGACCTTTTTGTCCGGGGCTTCAAGGCTGCCAGTCTTTAGGCATGCTGCCGGGCCTTCTGCTCTTCGCTCGCCTTTTGTCCCGACTGATCCCTGCAGGACCTTGACTCCGAGGAGGAAGAGGAGGAAGAAGAGCAGGAGGCTGTTTGAGATGGGAGCTCCGGGGGCGGATGTGGGGCATGCCTTTGCAGAGGCCAGCCCCTACGGCGAAGTCGCAGGCGTCGGGGCTCCCAGGGCCTTGGTGGAGGTGCTTGCACAGAGCCCATCTGGCCGGGACCGAGGCCTCACCGATCTCGCCGGGCTCAGATGACCTCATCGATGAGAAAGACGATCAAATCTGTAGAACGGCTTTCCGGCAGCAAAGGATTTTAAGGCGAGCCGACAGGACTGGGCAGGTCAGGCCTTGCCAGGCATAGGGACTCTGCAACTCACCTCAGGTTACCCACGAATGGCTTGAGGACTGGGGACCACAGTGCGACAGAACATGATGCAGAGAGAACCATAGTAGGTTAGTAGGTGCTAGATACCAAGTCCGCTGTATCTCCATGCTCTATGCCGCTGCCAAACCCTCCTTCAAAGGAGCCTGTTCAGTGGGGCTGGGTCGGTGAAGACGCAGGCCCGGGCTCCAGTGGGCGACGAGAGAGATCCGTTTATGTCCCCACGCTGCAGGGCACCTCGTCCGCGACCAGGCACACCCCACGGCTTTGCAGGGACCCTCTAGGTACCGCCGGATCCACAAAGATCATGCCCATGCAGTCAAGCTTTGATGGAGTCTGGGAAGAAAGGCCGGCTCCGCTCCAAGTGCTGCGCCCGCGTCTGGTGGTGGTCTCCTCAGAAGGTTAAGTACGAGTCCAGACACTTCAGCCGACCAAGCAACAGAAGCATGCTTGGATATGCTTGAAGCGGGGCAGTGTGTTTCCACGGTCTTTTGGAGATGCTGCCAAAGCCAGGCCCGGTGTCGGCGCCGAATCCGGTGCCTTACCAGCCGGTGCAGGCCGACTCAGACGGGCCGGAGGCTGCAAGGGTCATAGTTTCATGATTTGCATGTCGTTTCCGTAGGCAGCGGAGCCACAGCCGATGCCACAGATGCCCCAGCCGCAGATGCCGCAAATGCCGCAGGGCGCCTGCCTCAGACTGCGGTGGTCTCATGATTTCGTCTGTGATCTGCAGAGCCACTGTCACTGAGCTTAACGCTTGTTGGAATCGGTTCAGGTCAGCAGATGCCACAGCAGATGCCCCAGCAGCCGATGCCACAGCAGCAGATGCAGCCTCAGCAGATGCCGCAGCAGCAGATGCCAATGCAGACGTGTCATGGCCGCAATACCGTCCTGCTTGTGTTTTCCACTGGCAAACTACGGGCTCTATCACACCGCTTAATTCCTGGCTGTAGGAACTGTTGGACCGGCATTCAATTCGGGTATGCTACAAAACACGAGTCTCTGGTGGGATAAACTTGGTCGGCAGGATGGTTTTCATGCCTGTCGCAATGGCACCAGCACCCGCACCAACGGCACCAATGAATGGCGGTGGAGGCACCTGCTCTGCCATTCAAGCAGCATCGCTGCCAAGACACAAGATTCTGGAGAGGGTGCTGTAGTTCCCTTCACATTAAGGCCAGCTGCAATGGGATGGAAGCTGAAGGGGGCAATCCGGGCTTATAGCCTATATTAAATATGTGTTTTTTGCCGCCTTGCACCTCCCCAAGCCGCAGGTGCGGGACCCAGTGGGCCCGTTGCCCCCGGAGGGGGCTACGGGGCCCCACTGCCCGAGCTGCCCGTCCGCCAGCCCGATCGGGGGGCGAGGTGCCTCTCAGACGTGGGGATTCAAGGGAGCTGAAACCACAAACGGCCCAGATGCTTCTCTCATCTAAACTCGAAGTGCCATGCAGGTGGCCGGTAGCCGGGGTTGGACCCCTTCCTGTGGGCCCAATGCCGCAGAACGCGCAAAACAGCGTCATCGCGACGTGGCTGGAGATGTCAGGATTTCTTTCGAGTCCAGCAGAGACTCCGGAGTCCGGTGCCTGCGAAGCTCAGGTCACCGACGGATCGTCGGCGCCCAACTCGGCGATGGCGGTGTCCAGCTCAGGCAGGAACGGACATTGTCACAGGCTTTAGGATATGTGGTGTCTGCTGTGGCTTCTGTGTGTTGATCACAAAATAAGATCTGTGTCGCCGCAGACACGCCACTTTGGAAGTGCCACAAGACATCCCAGCCGGCAAAGCTCCTGCAGAGGCCGCGACTCCACGGCGCCACCCCAGCCGCAGACTCTCACCAGGGCCTTCAGCTACTCGGCTGGATCGTGGCTTCGGGCTGTCGGGGATCAGAGCTCCACCGTCGTGTAGACTGAATCAGATACTTGGATTGAGTGTTTCCGTTGGCCCAGGTGTGAAGAGCGGCTTCTTCCGCGTGTGCCTTCTTCAGCATTCCAGGTTTTTCTCCAATCTCGGCAGAGTTCGGGGTTTTGGGGTGTCGGAGCTAAAGGGGTTCATTGAGGCTGAAGGGTCCATGCAACTCTGCCGTGCCAGAAGTGGAACATTTGGCGGACTTGACACGGCCGCATGTGAGCATTTCAAGCACACCAACCTTATGCTTGGGCTTTTTGGATTCCATATCGAGAACCATTCTGCAGATGTTGACGAGTTGACGTGGGAGAAGAGTTCTGGAATGCAGCCGCACTGCTAGGCGTGTATCCTGTGCGAACCCCCGAGATTTGGTTTGGGCATAGTAACATCTGTAAACAAAGAAATGAACATGCATATGTATGTATGTATGTATGTATGTATGTATGTATACATATATATATATATACATATATATGTTCTCTTAGCGCTGCAACTGAGCGAGTTGCCTGCAGCTTCTTTCGGTTCATGTGGTTGAACCTGCTCCCGCCGGTTCTCCAGGAGCTTAGGTTGTTCGCTTCCAGCTCGAGCCATAGCTCTCTTGGATACGTCTGCTTAGCAGCTGCCTGTTTGGGATTCGTCTTTTGCTTGGGCTGCTGCTGCGGGGGCTTGATTTCAGCTTTCGCCTTTTCTGCTGACTGCCGAACCTTCACTGGCCGAGTTCTTCGACATTTGGGTTTCTGGTTGCAACAAGCCCCTTCGAGGCCAGCTCAACCACTAAGGGGCCCTGACCAGCGACGGTTGCGTGAGTACTGCGATTAGTGCATGTCTTCGGGGGCTGTGCCCTCTGCCACCGTCGACGCGACTGACGAGGACATCCGAGAGTTGACTGTGCAACTGCGGCGCTGTTCTGTCACTGTGCGGATTGAGCCCTCAGAGGCAAGTGTTTCAGCTTCCAGGCAGGATCTACCAGCAGCCTCGGACGGAGAATCCGTTCGTGCCAGAGTACCCCTTGCTGGGTCGAGTTCTACTCCGACCGTGCTCGAGGACGACCTTCGAGTTCTTGACCTGAGCTCCCCGACCGAGCTAGGTGCTATCGACTTAGGTCACCTGAACTCTTTG